CCACCTAGCCACTGGTTACCTTGCTGCTTACAGGAGGTGGACGTTGCTGCCTGTGTCAGCTTAACCTGTGTCGAGCAGTGCCTATACCCATCACACCCTCAGCTTTTGCTTGTTCTGTCTCCTGAGGTGTCAGGGTAAAACCTCTGGTGTAATGTTCCCAGCCAGATGGACTGGGAATATGTGTGCGTATGTGTGTGTTGTGGGGGGAGGCAGGGTGAGGGGAAGAAAAAGAGAGCTGCAATTAGCTGGTAAGTGGGTGAAGAGTCTAATGTGAGCACCTGGCCTGAATCCCCTTGGGAGTTCATAGGCTGGGGGGGTGGGGAATATTTCTGCCCATCCGACAGCTGAGAGTCATGGGCGAAGACTCCTTGGGCCCTGCCATCCCCTCACTGCAGCCAGGATTGCCAGCCCACTGAGTGCCAGTGAGGTAGCTAAATAAAGACCAGCTTTGCCCCAGCACAGTGCAGTGCTCCAAGGTACCTGTGACAGTCGCAGCCATCTCCTACTGGTAGCCTGCCTCAGGGGGCATCAGCTGATGTGCCGACTAAAGAAAACCTGAGCCCAGACTTGGGTGCTGAGCTGTGGACAATCCTGGCCTTTGTGCCATTTGGGATAGGGTCCAGCTACAGCATGATTCAGTACCCCAGACCATCTGGCAGGTGTGTCCAGGGGAAAAGAAGTGTCAGGGATCTCAAGGCTCCTTCTTATACTGGGTCTAATCCCTTTGCTTCCTGGTTGGCCCCAAGATCCTTTTTCCCTGCATCCCTATGCTGTGGGTTGGGCATGTCTCATTTTTTGTTTCTTTCTCCCTTGCAGGAGGCCAACAGCAGCTCAGGAGGCAGCACAGTGCAGCGCTCCAAGGTACCCATGACACTTGCAACCATCTCCAACTCATACGCTACCTCAGGGGCCAACAGCTGCTGGGAGGCCAGTGGGGAGGGAGGGAGAGGTGCCCTGACACAGGGAGGGGAACTGGCAACATCTGCACAGAAGATGCAGCTGTAAGGCCAGATGCTGGCATGGATTGTGGGCTGGGGGAGGGCTGCATTGCACAACACCAGTGCCCCAGCATTAGGTCTGATGGACACTTACAGTAATCCTCCTGCTTGGGCAGGAGAGCTGGGGGCAAAGGCCTTGGTTTCCTTGCTGTTGCCTGGCCCCTTCTCATGGCCTTCTCTCAGTGGTTTCCATTTCCACCCAGTCATTCAGCTTGAAGGCCCAAGTGAAGGAGACATGCACGGCTTGCCAGAAGACCGTCTACCCCATGGAACGGCTGGTGGCTGATAAATTTGTCTTCCATAATGCCTGTTTCTGCTGCAAGCACTGCAATACCAAGCTCAGGTGCGTGGGCAGGGTGGCAGGTCTTCTCTGTCTGGTGGGAAGGAGAACTATGGAGGAAGACGCTGGGCTGAGCACACCCCCCAGACCCATTCAGACCATGCACCCCCAGCCTGACCCCCCAGCCACAGCCACAGCCACAGCCACAGCCCTTTGCTCACACTTGGTGTCCAGTGAAGAAATGGGAGGCCTCCAAGGACTCCTCAAAACACTATAGCTCCTCCAGTCCTATCCTACAGGGTATGATTTGGCAAGGGCCTTCGTGGCACCTCCAGTTTGCAGCTCTGGATACCAGACCAGGAGTAGGGAAGGGGGTGGGGGAAGTTTTCCTATCCTGCCCCACCAGTTGTGACTAAGGTGTTCACTCTCTCTTAGACCTGGGGTAGACCCAGAGCATCATGTAGCAATGCAGAGACTATACAGGTCTTTCCCCTGCCTTACCTCATCTCCAGACCTCTCCTTTTCTCCTCTCAGATCCTCTCTCCTCTGCCTCACGTTCTCCCTTTTATAAACTCCTTCATCCTAGACTCTCAGTTTATAATTCTACTTGCCATGACAGCCCCTGCAGCCCTCTGGCTCTCCCTGACACCCCCCCATACTTCCCCACTCCCCCTAGCACACGGCTGGCGGCTTACCCCTGCCTCCTTCCTTGCAGCCTGGGCAGCTATGCGGCGCTGCATGGGGAGTTCTACTGCAAGCCCCACTTCCAGCAGCTGTTCAAGAGCAAAGGCAACTACGATGAGGGCTTCGGGCGCAAGCAGCACAAGGAGCTCTGGGTGCACAAGGAGGTGGAGAGTGGGACCAAGACAGCGTGATATGGCCTGGCTCCCTTTCCCTCGAGCCCAGCCGAGACAACACTGAGAGTAAAGCTGAACTGGGGGCTAGCTGAGCTGCTGTAAAGGGTGCTGGCAGGGGCTGCTGGGAACAGAGGTGGGAGAGGCAGTGCCCAGGCAAAGACCAGCAGCTCCACCGTGTTGCTGAGCTGCAGAAGCCTTTGGTAGCAAGATCTAGATGTTATGTCTGGGGCCATTGAAACTGCAATGCAGAATGTGCCTGGTCTTTAAGAGCAGGAGCCCAAATGGGAAAAGGGCAGGGCTGCCTGGGGTCCAAGGGTATCTTGCTAACACCCAAGCAGAAGCCCTTCTATCCACGGGCTGAAACCAGGCTATGCCTCCCTGAGAGAGCCTCTCTGTTAACCCCTCATGGGAGTCTGCTGCCACAGGGGAAGAGAGGCCTTGGGGTTCCCAGACCCAGTGTCAAGGGGCTACCCAGCACCTGGTCCCACCCTCTGGTCTGCCTGCTGGTGATGTGGGGAGGGCATGCCCTCCACTTTGTTTACAGCAGCTCAGTTCAGCTGGACCAGTTCAGCTTCCCTGCTCTTGCCCTGCGACTTTTTGCCATGCTCTGTCTGTTTTTATATTTGCCTTTCGATGGGTACGTCCTGCGCTGGAGCCGGCCTCGCCTGGCGGCTCTGTGCCCTTTTTATTATTTTTGTAATACAATGTTCTGAGCCTTTCCCATTGCATATCACTTTCAGGGGCACCGCAGCAGGTAGCAGTGGTGACCGTCTCCCTTGGGAAGATAATGGAGGTGACTTCCTCAGTGCTCACCACACCTCACTAAGGCAACAGGTTAAGCTGGCGCCTGTGTAAGATTCAAGGTCCCAGTGCAGCCCTCAAGGGGCTGGCAGCCCTTGCTCACCTCAGCCTGCCAGTACCACAAAGCCTGGGGGTGGGTTCTGCCAAGGGCTCCCTCCATAGCAGCAGCCAGGCAATCCGAGTAGGGAAAATGGAGGAGGTGACACAGTGGGGACATGGAACATGCATTTGCCAAGGGATGGCCCCATGTGTGCTTGCTGACCAGAGCACACTGAAAACACAAAGGACATCAGAGTCCAGACCACAGCAGAGGCTGGGGGACAGGGAAGGTATGGATAGGCCACACGGGGGCCTGAGCACCAGCTGCAGGTCTACCCCACATTAGGGCTGAGAGGCTGGAGTACCGTATCAGGCAGTATGGACCCTCCTCTCAGCACACCTCAGCTAGAGAGCCCAGGGGCTCCTCAGACAAGCCCAAAGAGCTGCTCTCAAGGAACATCTCAGCCTGTACCAGCCTTGGGGAGCTGAGAAAGCCACAGCCCCATGGAGTGCCCCAAAACCACTTCCTGCAGTGATTCTTGCTAGGTCCCCACCCCCATTTTCTGCATGAGCTGCAGATCCCCGTGGGCATGTCATTGGCCTTCTCCATGCCTCAGCTTCCTCCCAAGGCCTAGGGACTGTCTAGCTCATGGGGCAGGCTGTGAGGCTCCCCTGACTACTGGGTGGAGTGCTGTACTCTACTGAGCTGTGATAGCAATGAATGACCTCCCAGCTCCCCCAGGGCTGCCACGGGGAGGCTCCTGAAGGTCAGGGAACTCCCAGGCATGGTCAGCAAGGTAGGCAGCTCTACCTGGTCAGTGCTGGGTCTCACAATATGTCCAAAAGCCTTCAGCACAGCACAGCACAGGCCAGTCCTTGGGACGCTGGATGATCCTGGGAACACAAGATGATATGCAGCCTGCTCCCCTTACTTTATGCATGTGACAGCATGCTACTGAAGGGGTCCACTAATGGCTGGGGGCTGGGGGAGGGAGAGGCAGGATGAAGTCCCAGCAAACCCAAGGAGCAGACCAGTAAAGCTTTGGCCCAGTAAAGCAAGAAGACCCACTACATGCAAGGCACTAGCCATGCTGCAGGTGAGTTTAGGCCAGAGTGAGCTGCCAAGATCTCTCCACTTAAGGCTTTTGCTGCATATGGAGAGCCCAGCGTGCGTCTCTGCTCTGGGTTATTTTGGGCACAGAGAAAGGGTCTGGGTCACTACGGGCAGATGATTCTGTTCCTATCAGGTAGTGGTCCCTGGGTATGTCTGTAGGATGCTGTGCCCCTGTGGGACCAGCAGCAGGAACTGATCACAAGGCCTCTGGATGCACCGCATTCCCATCCCTGACAAAGAAGGACCCATCTGTCCTGGCTGTGGCAGGCTCTTCAGCTCTCCTCTGTAACCACAGCCCGCCAGAGGGAGCTGGAGTAGATGCAAGCTGTGTGCCATGCATGCCTTGGGCTACACACTGTCCATGTGGGAGGGGGCCCAGCCACAAACCCTCAGCTCTGCCAAACAAGCTCCTCGGTGCTCATTCAGCTATGGGGCAGATAGGGCAGCTGCAGGAGCTGCACTTCCCCAAGAAGCCCAGGCAGCCACAGGGAAAATACCATAAACCATTCAAGCAATAGCAGGCTGGCCTTGGGAGGTCCAGGGCCACAGTGCATGAAAGGGATCCTCTCTAGGGGCAGAGACCACCCTTCCTGCCAGGAGCTAAGAGGTATCTGGTGAGCACTTGGCAGATGGGGAGTGTGTATCACTGCTTCCTGTTGCCTGGAATCAGCATGGCCCAACTGTGCATCATAGGCCTTGTACTACTAAGAGCCAATGGAGATTCCCTATTAGTGCAGAGGGGTCACTGACTGCACTTGGGAGGAAGAGTGCTCCCCTGACTGGCTCAGGCCCATGTTGGGAGGCAAGCTTCCACACCCACCTGCTGCCCCCATGCTATCTCCACAGAGATACCTGAGAGAGACCCCCGAGGCTCATGATACAAATGTTTGCACATGGCAGGTAGCATCAGCTAAACACCCTGTCCAGCATAAAACAGGTGAGAGGAGAGGACCAGCTACATGAAAGCCCCCAGTGGTCAAATCATGATTGAGCCTCATGTCAAGCCACTTTCCAGGGAATGGAGTATTCACCTTTCTCCAGGAGCCCAGGCAGCCCACAGCCATTGGGGAGCATGCTGAGCCCATGCCAGGGCAAACATGGAGACTGAGGGGGCTCCAGCGTGGAAGTCCATCTGCCCAGCACACAAGGAGCTGGGTTGTTTGTTCCTTGCAGAGGCTTCCTGCTTCAGAGAAAAGCCCATTGCCATGCAGATGGCCTCACAGAGGTTTAGGCACCTCATCCCTTTGTAGTCCAGTGGGAATTAGGCACCTCTACCTTTGAGAAACTGAGTCTAGCTGCTTAGGTAGAGCCTGCAAGCTGTTGCTCCTCAGGTCAGTCACATCTCTGCCCTGTTCCCTGCGGGGTTGGACAGACATGACCCAGAAAACCACTGGAGCTAGGCCATGCAGCTAAAGGGCTTTGCCTGTGCCTGTGCCTGTGCCTGTGCCTGTGCCTGTGCCTGCCAGGGCTGGGCAGCTTCCAGCTGCACCTGCCCCATTGCCACTTCTCCCTGCTCTCTCGACTCTGGTCTGACATGGGCTGGATGGCTTCTGTAGCATGCGCCTCCACGCCAGGGCCAAGCAACTGGGAGCTGCACCCATACTGCTGCCATTCTCCCTGGCCCACAACTTCCTAGCTGCAACGTGGGTGCAGCTTCTAGTGAAGAGCCACACTTGGACCAGGTATTTGCAAACTGCATCTGCACTGCTGGCACCACTTCTCCCTTCCCTGGGCTACAGTGCAAGTGTAGCTTCCAGTGGGGAGCTGTGTTGGCAATGGGCAGCTTTCAGCTATGTCTACACCATAGCTGTGGGTGAGTAGGGGGAGTGAGGAGAAATGGCAGCAACACAGACACAATTTACAGATATCTTGTCTCAGTGCAACCCCCCACCAGCTGGAAGCTGCACCCACTCCACAGTCAGGGAGCAGAGGGCACAGCTCCCCCCCTATGAAAATAGGGATGAGAGTACCCATGACCCTTACAGGGGCTCTTTGACAGGTTAAGGGCTTGGAGGCTGAAGATACTATGATAATAGGGGTGCAGATGTATTCCAGATAGAGGGGGGAATCAGAGAATGTGGGCAGAAGCTTGGTAACGACCTAGAGTTACTTCTGCCTCTGGAAGAACCAGCTGTTTTCCAGGGCATCCCTGTGTCTCCTGGTCCTGGGAGTCTGTCAGCAGGAGGGGACTGACTGCAGCCTTGCTGTGGCCGAGGTGTAAGAATGACATTTGTGGCATTGCCTGGAGGCTAACAGTAGGTTCTACCCAGTGGTGGCTGCTTTACCCTAATTATATCAGAGCAACAAGGGCCCTGGGACACAGGCTGAGACACCCAAGGAGGATGCTCCTTTCTCAACTACTGAAAGAACAATCAAGTGAAAACAGCCCCTTGGAGCTGGACCAGTGTGAATCACAGTGATGCCCAGCCCTCATAGCTGGGAAGCACCATTCAAGGGCCTAGAGCAGTGTGACCTTGTGGGCACATGTAGGATGACCCTGTTTTGAGAAGGGGATTGGACTAGATGATCTTGTGAAGTCCCTTCCAGCCCTACTTTCCTATGATCCTAATTTCATTGGTCTAGGTGTTGCCAGCAGCTAGACTGCACAGGTCCAGCTGGGACTGTGGGCACGTACACTGGAGGCCAGCCCATGCTGCCAGAGCGTGGCAGGTGCTACCCAGAGTACAGACAGAAGTTACATTTATCATGCAATCAGCCCCCTGAAAGCACTCTACAGCCATACCATGATATGCCTGGATGGCTGCAAAGTGCTTTAAAAGTGGCTGATCACACAGCAAGTTAACCCTCATTAAATGAGGGATGAGATGAAGATGCTCCACTTCAGACTGTCTTAGAGAACTTGTGTTCCCTACAGTTGATCTGCCTTGCATTTGGGGTGGGGGCGCTCCTCCCCTGCAGGCAGGCTTAATTCCTCCCTCCTGCCCCCTGCTCCTCCCCACCCAACAGGCAAATGTCGGAGGGGGGGGGTCACTCTAACTCATGGCACTTTATGTAAAGTACCACAAGTTAGAGCAGGGGCCTGCATGTCTGTCACAGCCCTAAAGTAAAGCCAATGCAGGGGATCCCTGCCCATCCCCACTCATGCTTCCTGCTTGCAATAAAAACATGCCCTGCAAGACTGACTCTGCTGAGTGAGTGACCAGGTCACTTCCCTTCTTCCTGCCTTTCACCTCCCAGCCTCCATCCACCTGGTCTATTTGGGGTGTGCACCCTGGGGCTGGTAGGACCCTCATGAGTTAGCTAGTCTGCCCCCTTGTGTAGGCAGCAGATGCATGGCTCCTAGCCACCCCAGGCAGCTGCTAGGCTGGGACCATGTTGCACTATGAGGGTGCCTAGTACCATCCTCTCAAGTGGGGCCACTAGAGGCTGGTGTAACACAAAGCTGAGCACTCCCAATGCTGTGGGCCAAGAGCTTCACTTTTCCTATGGACCGCTGCCTGGGCTTCTAGCTCAAATCAGGTTAACAACCTGAGGG